TATCATTTTAAATCTCGCCCACCAAAAAGGTTCCTGATCAAATAGATAATGAAATCTCACTCACCAAAAGGGTACCTGATCAAATAGATAATGGGGTGGCTAGGCACAAGAGACTGTAGAAAGTAAAAGGAAGCCCCCAGCTTGGCTCTCTTTGCCCTTCCTCAGTGCCCATACAGATGGCAGGACAGGACAGAAATCTTGCCCACGTGTTCATGGCTGTGGCTGGAGACTAAGGAACCCTGAGTAATAGTCGTAAGGAGGCCAGGAACAGGGCAAGAATCCAAAGAGCGAGCTCATGCACACGTGGCCACAACCAGACACGCAGGAAAGCTGAGCCAGCTGGAAATAGGAAATTGTTGCAATAGAATTGGGAAATACCTTAAATAATAATATCGGCTATAGTCTCCCTAGAGAAAGAACTAGAAAAAAATTAATGAGAAGCTGTAAATAAATGCTGCCTGAAACATATTTTATTTACTTTAAATGTTATATTTATACAGGCTTAATGAGGAAGATCTCTTTCTAAGATTTCCAAAAAGGATTCTTTTTCATTTTCTCCTATATTTTCTGGGACCATTTTAGATCGTTTCACTTTCTTAGTGTTAGCTGGTATTTTAAAGTGAATCTTATCATCTTTCATAGACTCAACTTGTTTCTGATGCCTTTTGTGTCTCTTTTTCCTCTTATTATTTCTGCTTTCCCAAAATACAATATTTATTTCTATGTGGTCAAGTTAACACTTAAATATTTTTCTCTATTTGTTTTTTAAGATGTACACTATAATATATAGTAACACATAGTGTTTGACTTATAATTTTTAAATTTAAATTAACTTAAGATTATGGTCTTAATTTTCTGTCCTAATTTCACTTTCTAGTAGTCTCTTCTTCTCCTTATATAATAAAGATTTTATATTTGAAATTATTTTGGCCTTATTCAGCATGTAATCTACTCAGGTATTTTACTTTCATCCATTATTTTTTTTTGCTACATTTGATATATTCAAGCAAGAAGAGTTTGGAGAGTTTACAGCTGGAATAGTAAAGAAATTCACTGTATCACTGTATCACTGTCATCCCGTTGGTTGTCAAATTACTTGAGCAAGTGCCAGTAATGTCTCCAATCCTCCCAGCCCAGAGATTTTAGCAGCCTCTTCTTACTCATCTTTTTCCAATGATTGGAGGCTCTTTCAGGGTTAGGGGAATGAGACCTATTGTCGTTACTGTATTTGGCATATCGAATATGCCACAAGGAACTTGCCAGGCTCTGCCCGTGTGGGCAGGATACTCTAAGTAGATGCCGGACTCTCCGAGAGGCAGTCCAGAAAGCAGTCTGGAGCGTGGCGGTGGATGGGCAGTGGAGGTCGGCTGCCGGGGCTGCGTCCCTTGGGGTGGGGAGGGCTCTCACCCGCCCCACAGGCTGGCACGGAGTCCGGTGACATGGTTCTGGGAGCCTCCTTTTATTCTCCCGTCTGGGAGGAACATCCTTGAGTTCTGGAGTGTGGCCGATGAGGAGATTATCTGGTGCCAGCAGGGTGTGACTTGTGAATATGATCCCTGAGTCACTGGAGACTGGGGTAAGCAGGCAAAGGATCTCTGTTCTGGGTCCCGTTGAGTCCAGAGTCCAAGGTCACAAAGTTCCGCAATATCTGTGTTCCATGGGACTTCATTCTTGCATGAGACTCGGCTTGAGCATCCAGAAAGTAAAGAAATTACTGATAAAATTTTAGGGATCCCAGAAAATATCTCTGTTCTTCTTTGTTTCAGAACTTACAAGACACTTTGGAAGTTTGCATAGAATCTCTTTTTATGTAGGCTAATATAAATGGTATACCTATGGTGGAGAGATTGGAGTGATAGCACAGTGGGTAGGGCATCTGTCTTGCACGCAGCCAACATGGCCGACCCGAGTTCGGTTCCTCCACCCCTCTCGGAGAGCCCAGCAAGCTACCGAGAGTATCTTGCCCGCACTGCAAAGCCTGGCAAGCTCCCCATGATGTACTCGATATGCCAAACACAATAACAACAAGTCTCACGATGGAGACGTTACTGGGCCCGCTCGAGAAAATCGATGAACAACGGGAGGACAGTGACAGTGACAGGATTATCCATATCATACTCGTGTGATTCTCTGATACAACCCTATTCTGGCAATAGTCATTCTATAGGCATGTTGTAATTGATTGGGTCAATAAAGTTTGGGGGAAGGGGGGAGGCGAAAGGGAGCAACGCCCTTTCCCTCCTGGGGAGGCATGGCACCATAGTTTAACGCATGGTCCATTCACTTTTCTGCCGTCACCTGCCAGGCTCTGGATTAAGTCCTTTTGCCTCTGGAGCCATGGCCGTGTCGGAGAGCCGCTTGTGGGGGGCAACTCGTGACCTCGGTAGGGCGCGAAGGACAAGCCAGTACCGCCCCCCTTCCCATGAGACTACAGTTGCCCCATCACCGCTGGCTAATACCTGGCTTTCCAATAAGCTCTGAGGTGGCTGCCACCTTGTTTGTGGTCCAGATGCATTTTTCCAAAAGCCCCTGGGTTTCAAGGTTTGTTTCTGAGTCTCTGGGATCATGGCCATTAATCAGCTTGATGAGGAGCCAGAGAGGCTGTTTGTAGGTGGCGACCCAGGGTCTCGCTGGGATGAGGAGGAAAGGGCCGGTTCCACCCCCATCTGGTGAGGCCCCACGTGACTTGTCACTGCAGGCCCAAACCTGACTGACCAGTGGCCTCTGGAGGATGGCGGTCACCCGACCGCCAATGGGAAGAGGCCAAGGCATGAAACCTATTCCCACCTGGAGTGGCCCAGCCCCAGTAACCTACTGCAGGAACAGGACGCATTTCTGCCAAAAGCCTTTGGGTTCTAAGATTCGTTTCTGAGTCTCTGAGATCATGGCTGTTAAGCAGTTTGATTAGGAACCAGAGAGGCTATGCCTCCAATTATATAGCTGAGCTGGAGGTGGTTTGTGGGTGTGTCTCCCACATACCTAACTTTTGGCCATTTACTTTCTTTACTTTCTTGGTAAACTTTGCCCCAAGTTTTTGGGGTCTGGCCAAAGGCACAGCAGCAATTTTGGGGTATCTGAAAGTCTGACAGTGCCATCAGGCTGCTGATGGACTCGACTCACAGGTACAGATTGACCTGCTGGCGGCACCATACCCCCTAAAACTCAAACACTTAGACACTAAACAACTTACTACAGAATACAGTGAATCAAAAAGGAAATCAAAGAAGATTCCTGTAAATAAGTGAGAATGAAGACTGAGTTATCTTCTGGTAGCTTCATGTGAGATGCAGCAAATGGAATGCTATGAGGGAAGTTCATAGGAATGCAAGAATATTCTAGGAAATATGAAAAAGCCCAAATAAATAACCCAACTGCACAACTTGGGACTACTAGAAAATGAACAGCAAAGAAAACCCAAAGTAAGCAAAAGGAGGTCAAAATAAAACTAGGGAGTCAACAAATGGAAACAAAAACATATAAAAGAAAATATATAAATATGTTTATATGTATATAAATATATAGCACAGTTCTGCAGCACTGCCCTCCCATTGTTCATGGATTTGCTCAAGTGGGCATCAGTAATGTCTCCATTGTGAGACTTGTTACTGTTTTTGGCATATCGAATATACCACAGGGAGCTTCCCAGTCTTTGCCGTGCAGGCGGGATACTCTCGATTACTTGCCGGGCTCTCCGAGAAGGACGGAGGAATCGAACCCAGGTCAGCCGCATGCAAGGCAAATGCCCTATCCACTGTGCTATCGCTCCAGCCCATAAATATATTTTGTGTTTATGCTTAAAATACATAAATGAAAACAAAATATATAAAGCACCTGTAAAAATTAGAAAAAGACAAACCCTTCATAAAGTTGAGAGAAGAGATTAGACTTCTTTGAGGAAGACATGCATATTGCCAGGACATGTAGAGCAAATGCTTTTTATCACTTTTCAGTGAAATGTAAATCAACAAAACAATGAGATATTGCTTCACACCAGTGAGATTGACACATATAAAAAAGAAAAAAACCTGTGCTGGTATGGGTGTGGAGATGAAGGGGCCTTTCTGCAGAATTGGTAGGAATGTCAATTGGTTCAGCCTCTATAAAAAACAGTATGGAAGGATTGGAAAAATAGTACAGTGGGTACAGCACCTTCCTTGCCTGTAGCCAGCCATTGTCAGCATGCCTGTGCCCTGAGCACTGCCATAGTGATCCCTGAACACAGCCAATAGCCAACATGTGTAGCCCCCAGCAAACTAAAATAAACAAACAACAACAACAAAAGGCAAACAGTATGGATACTTCTTTAAAAATTGAGAATTGAGCTTCTATATGAGTCAGCTATTCCACTTTGGGGCAGCTACCCTAAGTGCCCCAAACACTATTTCAAAAATACAACTGTGCTCCTGTGTTCAGTGCAACATTATTCTCTGTCCAACTTCTGGAAACAATTGACTTTCTAAGAACAGATGACTGGATAAATAATTGTGATATATGGAATAACATTCATCTATAAGAAAAGATTAAATCATGCAGTTTGCTGTTATGTAGGCAGAATAAATAGAGGGTATCATACTGAGTGATGTAAATCAGAGAGTAACAATAGATAATGGTCTGTCTTGTATATGGAGAATAAAGAAATTTAGTGATAGAATAGCAAATGGCCAAAAGAAACAGAACCAGAAAGTTGGTGGACATAACTGGGCTTACCACATGGGATTAGGACTGTGAATGGAAGGAGATGATGAAACAGAGTTAGGTTAGAGGAAGCAGGCACTCTGGTAGTGATGTACTATTATTACATTATCTGCATGTAACTATAACAGTATTGGAATCCATGATATATCAATAAAAAGTTGCCGTTTGAGGGGTATGTGGGGTATAGAACCAAGACAGATCTCTTGGACTGAGTTAATGAAATTATTCTTCACATGAGTCCTAAAGTTCATGATGTTTTTAATTTTTTTCCTGGAAGCGCTAAATGGTTTAATAATTTCCTACAGGAAGAACAGCTAAAATCTCATGAAACCAAGCTAAAACAGATTACCACTGAGCTGGCTGAGCATCGTTCCTATCCCCCAGACAAGAAAGTAAAAGCCAAGGATATAGATGAGTACAAACTGAAAGATCACTACCTGGAGTTTGAGGTATGTATATCTTCAGTGTTAATACCTATAAGTTAATTATTTTGTGGGTATATCATAAAATAAAAAAAAGACATGAGAACTATAGGAAATGTAGATTTATCCTGACATATGTATATTTATCTTGGAAATGTTTATTTAGCTATGGTTCTCAAAAATAGCTCATGATGGTCCCTCATATTCATGATTCTATTGGGTCATTAAACAACTATTAAAAGCAGCAGTTTTTGCACTAAAATACATATAGCATGACTGGTGCTCCCGAGTAGCAACAGTAGATGAACTTGCCAGGTGGACAGCTGCTTTCTATGTTTCTATGCCTCTTCCAACAATGTTTGATTTAAAAAAAAAGGACAATGGAGGAAATGAGCTGAGAATGACATTGTATCAGCTTTTAGTATACATTCTCCACTCAGGCAGCTCTCAGGAACTTGTTGTTACTACTCACTGTCCTTCATATATTAAGTAGATATATTAAGTTTTAGCATATCCAGATAATCTACTGTTATTTTCATTTAAAATAATTATAAATTCCATAAACTATGGATAAATATAAAACTTAAAAGCAAATTGAGAGAAATCTACCTTTAGCTAGATTTTCTCCCAAATTAGAATTATTCAGGATCCTAATTCTCTTCTAACTACCTCACTTGAAATGCAATTAATTTCATAAAATATATACATATATAATCAGTTACTTTTCAGTTTTCCACATGAATATTTTCTGTTGTGTGTGCTGCATCTCTATTCCTTTTCACTGTAGTCCGAATAGATTTCATGCCTGATCGTGACTCTCTCCTCTACCTCCGTGTCATCATCCTGTTTCCTTCTTAAACTTGAATTACCCGTGAACCTTCCCTCTTGAGAGAACCAAGGTTTAATTCAGAACATAGACCCTGCCCTTCCTCTGCTATGTCTCAGTCCTCTCTTTTCCTTACAAGGGACATTGTGTTTATACGTCTCTGCTCACATTCTAGTTTGTTCATCTCTGACCTGAAATCCAGTGGTTGCCTGCTCTTTCTCTTCAGTTCATCCCAGAATTCTTCTAACAAATCCTTTGTAATGTTCAAACCCTGCTAAGGAGACCCTTTGTTTAGCAGCCTTTGCATTACCCCTTCACACACCTGCTGCATCCCCCCCACACATATACACATTTATTTTCTCTAGAAAGTTCCGATCCTTAATTTCAGATGTCTATATTTTTTTTTCTACATTGGTCTCTCCTCAAAAGCTTCCACATGTTAATCATACTTTTTCCCTCTCTCCAAATACACATATATACCCTTTTTATGTTTTTTAATAAAATTTTTATTAGGACACCATGATTTGCAAAGTTATTCACAGTTGAATTTCAGTGTATAGTGTTCCAATACTAATTCTCTCAGCTGTATCAGTTTCCCTCCACAGTGCTCCCAGGTTCCTTCCCACCCCCTAACCTGCTTCCCTGACAGGCACATATTTAAATAAAAAAGTAGGAGGTCATAGGAGGGATACTAGGAACATTAGTTTAGCTGTTGTCTGATGAAAAAGACTTTTTTTCCATAGGATTAACCTGTTATTGTCCTGCTAGAGTTGGCCTGATACTACTTCAGTATGTCTTTGTCTCTATAGTGGATCCCTACACCTCTCCATACCTAAGATAAATCCTTTAAAGTACAGAAAACTCAAGTTCATTCTTTGTGCTATGTTTGTGAAATGAACACGATTTTATAGAAACTGGAAAACTTTCTTGCATTATAAAAGTTATGCTATAAAATGTAGTATTTGACCAGTGCAGACCTATTTATTAGTTTATCCCAAGGTTGAGTAAGCCCTAGCTCTAGACCAAAAGTTCCCAAACTTATTTGACTTATTGCCCATTTCATAAGAGAACTTACTCAGCACCACACAGCCACCATACCACCAACCACACCTTCATGAGCCCAGGAGGCCTAGCTCTTTAAACAAACAAACAAAAAACTCAGAAATCCACACCCCTCATTTGTTCCTGAGTGGTGTACTGTGGTACCCCACCCCCTCAAAATCTTTCTAGTTATCACCCCAGAAGTGATATCATCCACTTTAGAAAACATTGCTCCAGGAATATGAAGATAAATATTCACTTTGGTAAAGATAAGTTTATGAGCAAAAACTTACCAGCAAAATACTTGAAAAAATGAAATAAACACACATACACACAGACACGTAACTAGGTAGTTTTTCTTTCACCAGCCTTATTCATTCTTGGGAATTGGCAATTCTCTAAAAGCAATCTTAAGAATGTTTATTGCAGCACTATTTACAATAGCCAGAATCTGGAAAACATCCAAATGCCAGAGAATAAATGACTAGTTAAAGAAACATTGGTACATCTACCCAATGGAATACTATGCAGCTGTTATAAAAGATGAAGTCATGAAATTTGCATATAAGTGGATGGACATGGAAAGTATCATGCTAAGTGAAATTTATCAGAAAGAGAGTGACAGATATAGCATGACTGCACTCACTTGTGGAATATAAAGTAACATATAGGAGACTAATACTTAAGGATAATAGAGATAAGGGCCAGGAGGATTGCTCCACAGTTTGGAAGCCAGCCTCACGTTTTGGGGGAAAAGACAGCTGGGATAGAGAAGGGACCACCAAGTAAATGATGCTTGGAGGACTCGCTCAGAATGGGAGATGCATGCTGAAAGTAGACTATGGACCAAACATGATGACCGCTGAGTACCTATGTTGCAAACCATAAGGAGAGAGAGAGTAAGAGGGAATGTGTCTGCAACAGCAGTAATAGGGGTTGTGGAGGAGGGTGGTCATAGGAGGGATACTGGGAACATTAGTGTCAGAGAATAGGCACTGGTGAAGGAATGGGTACTTGGTCATTGTATGGCTGAAACATAATATGTAAGTTTATAAATTTGTAACTGTATCTCACGGTGAGTCAATGAAAGAATTTTTTTTTAAAAAGGGAAAAAAGCAATTTTAATTCTTCACACTTATGGAGTATCTTTCAGTCACAAGCCCATTTTATTTCACACCTGGTAATTAAGTTTTCCAACACCTCAGTCCCCTGCTTCTAGCCCTTAAATTTGCTTTGAGTCCTTGACGATGAAGGCTGAGAGATTACATGTCCCAGAACACGAGGGGAACTGTAAAATGGTAGACTTCCACTGTTAAAAAGAACTGTCTACTCTTAATCTACTATTAGTGTTCCATTTCTAAAAAATTATGTATTTTTTAAAGGTAACATGGAAGTTATGGTAGTATTAAGCATTTTTATTTCATTTATTAAATTTTACTTATTTTTTAATTTAATCAACATGAGATGCAGTTACAAAACTTTCGTGATTGGGTTTCAGTCATACAGTATTCCAACACCCATCCCTCCACCAGTGTACATTTCCCACCACTAGTATGCCCTGTATCCCTCCTACCATGCCAAGGACCCCAGCCTGCCTCTATGGCAGGCACTTCTCTTCTCTCTCCCTCCCTCTCCCTCACTCCCCCCTCTCTTTTTCCTCCCTCTCTCTCTCTCCCTACCTTTCCCTCCCTCACCCCCCACACTTTTGGGCCTTATGACTTGCAGTACAGATACTGAGAGACCATCATGTTTAGTCCTTTCCCTACTTTCAGCACACATCTCCAGTGCAGAGCAATTAATTGTCATAATAGTCCCTTCTCCATCCCAACTGCTCTCTCTCCCAGCCCTTTAGGCAGGCTTCGATCCATGAACCATTCATCCTTAATCTTATTTTTACTGTCTTGGGTGTTAGTCTCATACTATGTATTTTTTTATATTCCATAAATGAGTGGAATCATTCCATGCCTGCCCCCCTCCTTCTGTCATTTGCAGATGACATGATATAATACTTAGAAAATCCTCAAGACTCTACCAAAAAACTCTTAGAAACAATAGGTTTGTGTAGTAAAGTGGCAGGTTACAAAATCAATATCCAAACGTCCATGGCTTTCCTATGAACAAATAATGAAAAAGAAGAAAGATATATTTTAATCCCATTCATAATTATGCCTCAGAAAACCAAGTACCTCAGAATCAACTTAACTAAAGAGGTGAAGGGCCTGTACAAAGAAAACTACAAAGTACTATTTCAGGAACACAATGAAATTGTAATGCATCCCCTGTTTGTGGATTAGGAGAATTAACATCATCCAAATGGCAATACTCCCCAAAGCATTGTACAGATTCAATGCATTCCCTATATGGAGAGCCATAACATTTTTCAAAGAAATAGACAAAACACTCCTGAAATTCATGTGGAACAATAAACCTTTACGAATACTAAAGCAATCTTTAGGATAAAGAAGATGGGAGGCATCACCTTGCCCAAATTCAAACTGTACTAAAGTAAAGCAGTAGTAATTAAAGTAGCATAGTATTGGAATAGAGTCAGACCTGCAGACCAGTTGAATAGGGTTGAATATACTAACACAGACACATATTATGATCACTTAATCTTTGACAAAGGAACAAGAAATATAAACTCGAGCAAGGAAAACCTCTTAAATAAGTGGTGCTTTAGAAACTAGACAGCTATGTGTAAAAAATTAAACTCAGACCTCTGTCTAATACAAAGCACAAAAGTCAGATTGAAATGAATTAAAGAGGGATGACGTGGTGGTGGAAAATTGGCACTGGTGGAGGGATGGGTATTTGATCATTGTATAATCGAAACCCAAGCACAAAAAAATTGTAAATCTACAACTGTACCTCATGGTGTTTCACTAATAATAATAAAAAAGAATAAAAATTAAAATAACTAAATAAATAAATAAAAGAAAAAAATGAATTAAAGAGGGATGAGAGTGATAGCACAGTGGGTAGAGTGTTTGCGTTACATGCGGTAGACCTGGGTTTTATTCCCAGCATCCCATATGGTCCCCTGAGCACCGCCAAGAGTAATTCCTGAGTGCAGAGCCAGGAGTAACCCCTGTGCAACACTTGGTGTGACCTAAAAAGCACCCAAAAAAAAGTATTAAAAACTTAAGTATCAGACCTGAAT